GGGGGGAGGGGGGGCGTTTATTCGATACCTTAGAGTACTTATATTGTAGCGATTATAGTGACTTAGTTATATATCCATAGTTTTACTTTTTCCTTCCTCTGCTGTCTTTAGGAAGTTATCATTACTAGAGTACCGTAGCTTATATCTTGCACAGTCAGGAAGTGGGCGGCAGCTCCGGTCCTGGGGAACTGAAAGTTGAGTGTGTGGCCGGTTCCGTAGGTGGGAATGTACGTGTTTTTTGTTTTTGTTTTAGTAAGGTTTTAAGGCGCTCTCAACTGTATAAGGTCATATGAGCGCCAAGGGGTGGATGTCAACAGAGAAGCGTCCTCTGCTTTGACTATCAAGGCACCCCGGAACTTGCAGTTCACAAGAGAGTGACTTACTTTAGTCTTATCCGCCGCTTATACCCTTTTGGGTGTCACTGGAAGAAAGAGACGTCTCTCTGTCGCCGGCCGGAAAGCTTGGGTCAGGGGGATGCCGTGGGTGGTTAACGTTTCCCTGACTCCATCTTTGAAAGTCTTTCTCGGTCGCCCTCTAGCCTTGTTGCACTCAATTTTTTTAAATGTAGGCACGTTGTGCTGGATGGTGTGTTGGTAATCGTAGGAGATATCCGAACCATTTGATTCTTTGGTGTTGGATGTGATGCTTGACATCATTTGTACCCACCATTTCTCGGATTACAGAGTTTCTAATTTTGTCTCGCCTGGTCTTGTTTACTGCTTTTCTAAGGCATCGCATTTCACATGTTTTGATTCTTTGCTCTAATGTCTTGTTCGCGGTCCATGTTTGGAATAGATAGGTAAGTGTTGGGATGAATATGGTGTTGATCATTTGAGTTTTGTTGTCATGGGGATGTTAGGATATTTCAGTAGTGGAGTAAGCTGGTAACTAACATTATTGGCCTTTTGTACTCGTGTTTCAATTTCTCTGTTCAGTCGCCCATCCTCTGTGAATATACTTCCGAGGTACTTAAATTCTTGGACCTGTCTGAGATTGTTGTTGTTGATGTGTATCCTGAGTGGTTCTGGCTTTCTGCTTACTTTCATGGTCTCTGTTTTGTTGATGTTGATCTTCATGTCGTAGTTGTTACATTCTTCGTTTAATCTGGTGGTGTGGTGTTGGAGACTTCGTTCATCTTTGTGTGCCAGGCTTTGATCATCAGCGAAGAGTAATTCATTTAAGGCGTCTGGTTCTGTGTTGGCATCTTTTGGAATTCTATCCATATATATGATAAATAGTAGTGGTGATAGGACACAACCTTGTCTTACTCCGGATGTTATCTCGAACCATTCTGTGAGTCCCTCTGACGTTCTTACTATTCTTACTGAAGAGAGTGACAAACATACAAAAGAAGTAGAGGAAAAATGACGATAGTAAGGATGGGGAAAGAAAAAGCACAGTTCTTTCTATGCTGTTCCGGCACAGTATGACCACGACATTGATAAATCAGCTCATTTACAATTCTACTGTGTATAAGAACATATTAATATCCCTCTTTGGGAATGTTTCTTTTTTACTCCCCTATCGACACAATTTAGATCACATTATAGGAGGCGGGCTTCTGACTCTGCCTGTCAGGGCCAACCCGGGCTGAAAGAGATATAACACTAGAGCAAAAAGACCGAGATAGTCAATAAGAATTTACCCCATTCGGGAATCGAACTCAGGTCTCCTGCGTGCGACAACAAATCGCCTAAATGCTACACCACAGACACCACAGTGTCTCATCAGTGCATTGTTGTGCACAAAATGGGCTCAAAAACGTCTTTGTTGTAAATTTAAAAACAAAACAAAGCAAAAATGTTGTATCCTGTACGGTATTATTTTCAGAGGATGGGCAACTATCGGTAAATTTTAACTGAATGAGTAAGGTTCCCTTCACATGTTTGCTTGCACAATCACGACCGAGGCTAAGAACAAGTTTTTACACGGGTTTCAAAATCCATGTATTATTCGTTTTCACTCTTGATTTCAGTTTCACTTTCAGTTCCAGTGTTGTTTGGCATTTATTTTCGTAGAACGCGATGCAGCGCGCGCAACTCGATTAGCCTGCAGACTGCAGACTGCAGACACACAGAGGCGAAGTGGCGAGGTTTTCAGCTCTGGTTTTCCTGGTTTGTTTCCGGTCTGGGCGAGATAGTAAACTGAATGGCGTTCTGCGTTATAGCAGAGTGTTACAGTATGACTAGAGCGTTACTGTAAAACCCTCTCTGGCAATAATAGTCAGAAGTATTTCCCATTCTCACAGACGTCAGGTCTCAGATATAATATTATCTGTCATATTGCCTTTGGTATGTTGTCTCTTTCTTCTTTCCTTCCTTTATTTATTCTTCTCACTGAAAGAACGGGAGAGGAGTGTTGTCGATTTTGATTTTTTTAGTTGACTGTTGTAGGCCTAGTCAGTCGGGCGTTTTGCGCACAAAATAAAAGCGAAGCAACTCTCCACTCCCCACTCTTCAAGCCTCGCCAAACCAAAAGAGGATACTACCCTTGCAAGGCTAGCCCAGATCTCCTCCCTCTCCTCCCCTTTTTCTCCGAACTGCTTTCTTTCAGTTTTTCGGTTAGCGTGTTAACCTTGACCTTGCTCGGAGGCCGTGGGTGCATGTGTGAGTTTGCGCGTTCTGTGTTTTTAGCTTGGTTTCCCTCTGTCAGAGTTGAGAGTTCCCGCTTCGTCAGTGATTTCAGTCCCCGCCTTATCCCACAGTGGTTGAAACAAGTGTCCCGGAGAGATTCTTGCTGTTCTTGCTGGTAAGTTTGGGATTTCATTTATGTATCACCTCGCGCCACGTACGATAGAGAACAGCGATTTATATTTATTATTTGTCTCTCTCTTTCTCCTCTCTCTCTCTCTCTCTCCCTCTCTCTCTCTCTCTCTCTCTCTCTCTCTCTCTCTCTCTCTCTCTCTCTCTCTCTCTCTCTCT